AATTAGATTATAATTACTTTAGGATAAACTGTAAGATCACAGCAAATAGAGTCTGTCCTGGTGTGGCCGTGGAAGGAGTAACTTGTTTAGCTCGATACTCAGGCCATACATGTTATCATTGTTGTAACTTGTGTTAATACTCGACATTTGTACTTGAGAACGGTTGTTGCTGGTCTTTTGTATAACATAAGGATAGTACAACATAGAGGGGTAACACTAGGTAGGTAGAACTCAACAAGAAGGAAGGCAGTGCATAAGAATTTTAAATCTATTATTGCCCTTTGTTATTTTTCATACTAAAATTTTGTCCCATTTGGGGAGCTTAACCCATCTCTGATGTCCCTTGTTTAGATCAATACTACATATGAGTTTGATATGAAAGTTTTTAGCTCACCTGGCCAGAAGGGCCATGTGAGCTTATGCTGTAGCACAACATCTGTCATCCGTCTGGCGTCCAACGTCAACGTTTTTCTTTCAACATTTTCTCAATAACCAATGAACCAAACGTTTCGATATTTAGCAGGTATGTTCCTAGAATAAAGCCCAACAATGTTTGCAAAAAGAAAGTACCTTGACTAATATTCAAGGTCACAAGGGTCAAATTTAAATGACTTCTTCTCTTGAACTAAAAGGCCTAGAGGCATAATGTTTGGCTGGTGTATATACTCAACAAAAAAAGAAAGGTTAACATGTTTCCTTGGCGAATACCTGTAAATGAGTGAAAACAAAATGACGTTTGTGCAATATTAGAAAATGGTAATGTTTTACATTACAAAATCCAAGGGGGTTACCAAAATTATTCAAGCGTGAAAGTCTGTATCAGCGAAAGAGCTGCACAAGGTTTTCTGCGACTAACTTGTATCTTCGCTTGAATTTCATAAACATTCAAAATGACAACTGTTCCTTAGATCCTTAGGACTTAGAAATCACCGAATCTTGCTATCTATCAACTTTATCATTATGCCTCGGCTGTCACAAGTACAGAGAGAAAGGGCTGTAGGCATGATCCAGGCTGGGGAGTCTCGCCGTCGAGTTGCACGGCATTTTAGTTGCAGTGTTAAGACAATTTGCCAGTTGCCCGAAGTGGCCGACCCCGTAAAACCACTGCCAGGGATGACCGTTGTATACGATTGATACACTTGCGCAATTGATTCGTAACCGCAGTAGAGACTACAAGGACATTGTTTGGGCGTCGTGTCTCCCCAAACAGTCCGCAACAGGTTGAGGGCCTACCAATTGAAAGCATGACGTCCCTACACTGGACCCAATTTTTGCAATGTCACCATAATAATCGGCCTAACTGGACCCGTGTTCACCGTCGTTGGGCCTTACGACAATGGAACAATGTTCTGTTTTCAGATGAGTCCAGGTTTTGTCTGCAACACGGTAACGAAAGGCACAGAGTGTGGAGGCGACCAGGGGAGCGTTTTGCGAAATTGCTGCGTCGCAGTATGGGACCGCTTTTGCGGCGGAAGTGTAATGGTTTGGGGTGGTATTTGTGGGGGGACTTGTACCAGGCTTGTTGTGTTAAATGGCAATTTAACCGGCATTCGATATCGGGACGAAATTTTAAGACCAGTGGTTCTGCCATTCTAAAGACACCATGGCGTTGGCGCCATTTTTCAACAGGATAAAGCACCAGCACACACCAGTCGCGTCAGCAGAACTTTCTTGCAGCAGAATAACGTACAGGTGTTAGATTGGCCATCTAAATTACCTGATTTGTCACTGATTGAGCATGTCTGGGACGTTCTTGGGCGACGCGTGAGAGAACGTCAAAATCAGCCGTCAAACTTGCAGGAGCTGGCCCAAGCCTTGATCGCTGAATGGAACAACATCTCTCCTCGAATTATCTGCCGGTTTATGAGTTCCATGCGATGACGCTGCAATGCTGTTTACTTCACAAACGGTGGCCATATCCGTTACTAATGGTGTTACCTTTGAAATTGACCCCAACGTCCTTTACAGTCAAATAAAATCAACTGAAAGCAAATTTTTATAATGAACCATGACTACAGTTTTATCAGAATTGATCAATTACTTTATTTGTACATGATTGGTAAGGATTTATGAAGGGGTGAGTTAATTAATCACAGAATAAAGTAGTGTTACCTTTCTTTTTTTGTTTATTATATACCAGGTGAGCACTGCAGGCCCAGTGGGCCTCTTGATCGGTCCTTCACTGCAAACTTTCTTTGGTTAAGTAAAGATGCTTTTTGCTTTTATCTGTTTGCGAGATTGACTCTACTTTTAAGTTTTGTTGTCCAAATTTTTGTCATTGCTTTTAATTTTATATGGCTATATACCTGTATTTCTATGCATTTGACAAAGTTTGCTTTTGTAATCATAATTCTTAAGCTATTTAGAAGGATTGTCTTACACAAACATCTCTATTTGAACTTTTGATACCAGAAACATGCTAATTTTTACCTGTGCGACTTTTATCACAATTATGCAAAACTATTGATCCCACAGGTAGATTAAATATGTCCTACACCTGTCCACCCTCTGAGTAGCTGCTGTCTGGGGATTAGCATAGCTGTTGGTCAGTCCATTAATGGTTGTGGAGGGAATTCAGGTTATGCCAAACATAATGTACTGTTAGAGTAGAGGGTATATGTACTTTGTGGCTAGATGTGGCTTGTACTTTATGGGGCTAGATGTCCCCATGTAGAGTAAAGTGCCTCTCACCTCGGACATGTACTTTTATTGCCCAAGCAGGCCTTGAGCACCTTTTCTTGCTTTTATTCACCAGTCAAACGTCATGGTCAGCACTCCTATGAGCCTTCAGAAATCCTATTTATAACCCTCAGGATTTCTGTGAACGTTATATGACGTAATACAAACACGTTGATCTCTGATAAACATTTATAATCAATTGGATGTCAGCTGTAAACAGCAAAAACCACAGGTACCAGCCACTATTAATTTTTCGATCGATTATTTGCTTTAAGCAGAAAACCCATAGGAAAATAGAACACAGCTGATATCTGTGGCCAAAACATGTTGTTGTGTTATCCGTATCGATAAACAGGTTACTGTGTTTGTTTAAAGCCAAACATTAAACACTTAGTGAACTGGTGGTGAATACGAAAACCAAATAAATATTTTGTTTGCTTTTAAAAGTTTTAGTTTTACAATTTATTTTACTCAAAATGTGTAAATACATGTTTTACAAAAAACATGAAAATTGTCTTGATGTTTTTTGTTAAAACTTCAAATACACATTGTTCAATCTGTCAGTTATTCATAGGCTAAACTGATAACTTAAAACAGTCAGTCTCCAGGTGTGTTCTTTTGTAATTATTTATTTTTAAAATTATCAATGATGAAGAATTCGTACTGTTAATCTTTGTCAAACAATATTTTTAATTCAGACTAAAAGATGAGAGTATTCCCTCAAAATATAGATAATTCACAAGTCTTTATAACACAATATAATACATAAACTTTAATAATTTACATTTATGTTTAAAAAGTTTAATAAACATGACTTATAAGTCCTGCAGAATGTCAAAAAATGAGTTCCTTAAACCTACTACTGCTGCAGACTGATTAAAATCCTAATTTTTGATAATCTTCATTCTTAATTTATCTGAAACACCAACTCTCCTTGATGAGAAACAAACAAATGAAACCAATCAAACGATTGAACAAAATACCCTATACATGTATGACAGTAAAAGTAGTAGTGATGCTACACAGTAAAACTGTATCAAAATAATTTTCGTTGGGCTGAAGTGATAATATGTTGTCCAAACAGGCTGACTGTGACATGTTCACCTTTCGCTTTCATGCTGCTAAATCCAAGCAGATCAATATTCATATTCATATACATAACGTAGGAAACATTAGGATTGTATTCCTGACAAGCACCAGGTGGTCATACCTAAGTTTGTAATTACCCATCGTTAATATTCCAGGTAAAGTTCAAAACAAGGTCATTACGGTTAGGTTACAGTTGATATGTATTTGTTTAGCAGAAACTATAAATAGTATCAAATATATATTCCTAGGGTTTTAGTTTATCGGTTATTTGTTCGGCATAACATACACTGTGTTGTGAGGCTGTTGATTCATCCATGATTTCTGATCTAATGTAATACAGTGAAAACCACTTAATGTCATGCTGGTTATTGTCACTTTCTGGTTAATATCACATTTTCTTGAAAAACCAATTTTTTCCCATATATTTAATGTAATCCAACATCTGTACATTTGAACATTGAACTGCGATTAGAAATGGTTCTAGCTATTTCCATGAAGTAAGAGATAGCTGTGCCCCACTCATGTTTTTTTTGTAAATTTTTAATAAAAACATTCAAAATTTTATCTGTCTGTTCAATTTTTCTAAAAGTGTGAATTTGTAATTTTGCAGTCTTTCCATGATTGTAATTTAAAAAGTGTTAAGAGCTTAAGGTTGTAAGAATTAAAAGATGTTGTCAAGTATCAAGTATTCAACCTTACACAGAAATACACTTTTATCACTTGCTGCGTTAGATAAAGAATTTTTGTGAGTGTAACTTGACAATGTCTTCCTGTCTTTGTGTAGTGGATTGTGTCTGATCACCTGACTTACCTGGTAGTAAATAAACATTCTGAAATATCTGATAAAACATGAAAGGAAAACATATTAAATGCCACTCTTCTTCCGTCTTTTATGTAGCGACGGGTCGTTAAGACTGTAAAAATAAATAAATTCTGCCTAGAAGTCCGTAGAAAACTTTCATATATAATGCAGCAGACCCAGGTAACAAGGCTACCTACTAAATGCTTGCTTTTGTTGTTGTTTTTCTTTTCTTTCTTTTTTTGGAAATATTTATTTTTTAAAATTCTAAATGTAGATATTATATGCAAAAAAAAGTAGTCCTCCTCCTCATCTACTGTAAGTTATTCCTGGTTTGCATCATCATCATCATCATCATCATCATCATCATCATCATCATCATCATCATCATCATCATCTGTATGTAAATAAAGATATTATTTCTGGTTTACAGGGACTTTCAAGGACTCGTGATGGACTTATGGTGGCAGAAGTTGACCTTAATCTTTGTAGACAGGTCAAAGACGGCTGGTGTTTCAGGGTAGGTATATGTTATATATAGTTATCAAAATAGACTCTTAAGCCCTTATCATACACACGTACCTATATATAGACCTAGATATACCAGGTAAAAAGTATCTTAAAATGGTTCACACCAGGAGGTACACTGGTACAGCTAGACAGATAAAATTTGATTTTTAAAAAAAAATCAATATTTTATTTATTTGTTTTGTTGTATTTTTTTCTGGAAAATCAGTGATTGAGAAAGCTTAAATACTACATTAAATCAGATACATTTGTCAATTTGTGCAATTTAGTTAGCAGCGAGTTTTTAAAATATATCAAATTTTCTAGGAAGTTAGAAAATTTACAGGGTTTCAATCTTTATGCAGATGTTGACCTGTTTGTATCCTTGCCATTGTCCTGTTTATCTGTTGTAGATGACCCAGAGACTGGACATGTATGCTAAGTCACTGACTGAGGCAGTCAAACCAGACTACCAGCCAGACGTGGTCAAGGAGAAGTAGAGGTCACTGTTTTGTTGAAGGTAGACACTGACCAACTGACAATACCATTCCTAAATCAGTGGTTGCTATGGTGATCTCTCTTTGTTAATATAGGTGACACTTACTGTATACAGTCTTCTTTTCTGAAAATCATGGCAAGTGTTACTCTGGAAGTTTCTCTATCCAGCTGACATTAATCTGGTTGTGCTACTATCATGCCACCAATAATCTAGTTGTGTCACTATCTAGCCACCACTTATCTGGTTGTGCCACTATCTAACCACCACTAATCTGGTTGTGTTACTATCTGGCCACCACTAATCTGGTTGTGTTACCATCTGGCCACCACTTATCTGGTTTTGTTACTATTTGGTCACCACTAATCTGGTTGTGTTACTGTCAGGCCACCACTAATCTGGTTTTGATTTTATTTGGTCACCACTAATCTGGTTGTGTTACTATCTGGCCACCACTAATCTGGTTGTGTTATTATCTGACCACCACAAATCTGGTTGTGTTACTATTTGGCCACCACTAATCTGGTTGTGTTACCATCTGGCCATCACTAATCTGGTTGTGTTATTATCTGACCACCACAAATCTGGTTGTGTTACTATTTGGTCACCACTAATCTGGTTGTGTTACTATCTGGCCACCACTAATCTGGTTGTGTTACTATCTGGCCACCACTAATCTGGTTGTGTTACCATCTGGCCACCACTAATCTGGTTGTGTTACCATCTGGCCACCACTAATCTGGTTGTGTTACTATCTGGCCACCACAAATCTGGTTGTGTTACTATTTGGCCACCACTAATCTGGTTGTGTTACTATTTGGCCACCACTAATCTGGTTGTGTAACTATCTGGCCATCACTAATCTGGTTGTGTTACTATCTGGCCACCACTAATCTGGTTGTGTTACCATCTGGGCACCACTAATCTGGTTGTGTTACTATCTGGGCACCATTAATCTGGTTGTGTTACCATCTGGTCACCACTAATCTGGTTGTGTTACTATCTGGCCACCACTAATCTGGTTGTGTTACCATCTGGCCACCACTAATCTGGTTGTGTTACCATCTGGCCACCACTAATCTGGTTGTGTTACTATCTGGTTGTGTTACCATCTGGCCACCACTAATCTGGTTGTGTAACTATCTGGCCACCAATAATCTGGTTGTGTTACCATCTGGGTACCACTAATCTGGTTGAGTTACCATTTGCCCACCACTAATCTGGTTGTGTAACTATCTGGCCACCAATAATCTGGTTTTGTTACTATTTGGCCACCACTAATCTGGTTGTGTTACTATCTGGCCACCAATAATCTGGTTGTGTTACTATCTGGCCACCACTAATCTGGTTGTGTAACTATCTGGCCACCACTAATCTGGTTGTGTAACTATCTGGCCACCAATAATCTGGTTGTGTTACTATCTGGCCACCACTAATCTGGTTGTGTTACTATCTGGCCACCACTAATCTGGTTGTGTAACTATCTGGCCACCAATAATCTGGTTGTGTAACTATCTGGCCACCAATAATCTGGTTGTGTTACTATCTGGCCACCACTAATCTGGTTTTGTTACTATTTGGCCACCACTAATCTGGTTGTGTTACTATCTGGCCACCAATAATCTGGTTGTGTTACTATCTGGCCACCACTAATCTGGTTGTGTAACTATCTGGCCACCAATAATCTGGTTGTGTTACTATCTGGCCACCACTAATCTGGTTGTGTTACTATCTGGCCACCATTAATCTGGTTGTGTTACTATCTGGCCACCACTAATCTGGTTGTGTTACAATCTGGCCACCACTTATCTGGTTGTGCCACTATCTAACCACCACTAATCTGGTTGTGTTACTATCTGGCCACCACTAATCAGGTTGTTCCACCATCCAGTCACCACTAATCAGGTTGTTCCACCATCCAGTCACCACTAATCAGGTTGTCCCACTATTCAGCCACCACTAATCAGGTTGTCCCACCATCCAGTCACCACTAATCAGGTTGTCCCACCATTCAATCACCACTAATCAGGTTGTCCCACCATCCAGTCACCACTAATCAGGTTGTTCCACCATCCAGTCACCACTAATCAGGTTGTCCCACCATCCAGTCACCACTAATAAAGATGTCCCACTATTCAGCCACCACTAATCAGGTTGTCCCACTATCCAGTCACCAATAATCAGGTTGTCCCACCATTCATTCACCACTAATCAGGTTGTCCTACTATCCAGTCACCATTAATCCAGTCCAGTCACCACTAATCCAGTTGTCTCACTATCCAGTCACCGTTAATTCAGTTGTCTCACTATCTAGCTAACACTGATCTGGTTGTCCCTCTATCAAGCCCCCATAGAGCCCCCATAAATACAACTATCCCACTCTCCAGATAACTCCAATTGGAGCCCTACAGCAGAGATAGGAGTGCTACTCATATTGTCTATGTGTCTGATTTCCTCAGAATCAGGAAAGTCATAATATCTGATATTCTTAACGGTTTTTGACTTTGTTATGTAAATATCAATTCATCAAATATTCAATATGGATGCCAGTCACCAGCTGGAAAAATGCAAATGTTAATGTTAAATTTGTCATCTCTGAAATATTACAGGTTTTCTAATGAAAAGGAAATAAAATATTGAAATAAAACAAGAAGCCAGCTGACCTATTGTCAAGGTCATCATGTCAAAGGTTAAGATATTTTACCAAAAATATTAATGTTATCGCATCTAAGGTTAAATTGAAAAAATTCTGTGTTGCATTACTAAACTAGTAAAATTCTGTTATTTGGTAACATCATACAAAAGGTGAACCAACTAAATGGTAAGGACTTCTGAAGTTCAGATTTTTTTTTTCTGATTGACAAATGTTATTTTAACTTTTTTTTCTAAATTTTAGGTAAATAGCTCAAGGGAGATAACCACTTTCATCTCTCCAGAACTACCAGGGACATCTTCGGATATACAAATGCAAGGCCGTCTAAAGCTGATGTCTTATGGAAAGAAAACTTGTGTATTCTTCTCAATTAATTAGAAATCCAAGAACTTCTCTAAATATGATATACTTATCCTAGTATTGGCTAGAATTTTTACCTTGTTTGATCCATCATGCATTGATATTGATTTGTTATCGAAATTATTTTCACTGTTAACCGATGATCACCTTAACTTGTAAAACCAAACATTTTGATCTATTGGGTCTTTTACAATTGTTAATACAACTTGTAAAACTCATTTTCAGAATAATTTTATACAATATATATATTACCCTATACTGGTTGTAAAGTTTGATCCCATTAATTGTTTTTAAATGAATGACCCTGTTTTTTTTTGACATGTTTTTCTCATACATTTTTTTATGTAATTAAGATGGGAATCTTATGGCCTATCCAGTGATGTCACATTCAGTTGACATTTTGGTGCTTAATTGCAAAGGGAGATAATCTAATAGCATCACAGATTTGTGAAATGAAACAAGTTGAGAAGGTTTTTTCAAATTTCGACAAAATGATGTACTAGAGATAGAATCTACTCATATGAAGTTGAGATTAATTTATTTCAGTCTCTGGCTGACATTCTATAACATCTCATTCTCCACTTTGTCTCAAATGATTCTGTTAAAGAATGTCAGCCCACGATTGAGATTAATTATACCCCCCGCAACAAAGTTAGGGTGGGGGGGTGTATACTGGAATCAGGTTGTCTGTCTGTCCGTCCGCCTGTCCGTCCATCTGTCTTTCTGTCTGTAGACACATTTTGTCCGGCTAACTCCTCATAAACCTGTGAACCGATTTTGATGAAACTTTACAGGAATGTTAAGGATCATGTGTAGATATGCATGCCCCTTTCTTTTTTGAAAATTTTGGTTGCCATGGTAACTGGTCACTATAAACAAGTTTTCTAATAAATGTCCATAACTCCTCAGTTATTTGACCGATTGTATTCAAACTTAGTAAAAAGATGTCATTCAGTAACGCCAATAATTGGACATATTAGATGTTTCCCAAACTGTTACCGCGGAAACACAATCCTGGCCTCTGATTATCAACCGATTGCCAGATGAGTTTGAGATTGATGTAGTACCCACTTATTATAGTGACCATTATTTTGTCTCTGTGGCCCTTCAGTGGAAAATATTACTTCAATAAACATGTAAGTAATGCAAGACTCTCTTGATCATGAACAACATGTATTCCACCCCTTCTGATTTCCAGAAATGCAGGCACATGCAGAATATGTCAATTACTCTCAGAATAACACTTTAACTTATCCATTGACTTGTTGCAGTGTGCGGGGGGTATTGGTCAGCCATCTAGGCGACAGTTCTAGTTGATCTTGTACACATAAAGGCAACATATTCTATAAATCTATAATATAAAGCGGAGCTCAACATTAAAAAAAAAAAAGAAAAAATGAAAATAAAAAAACCGTAATTGATACATCAACTGTTTTCCTGGCAGTACATTTACTCTTTTTATCCTGGTGATATAGTGGACCATGTTTTGAACTTGAGACCAGCAGTCTCTCGATCAGCATTCCCTCATCTGAATGTCTTCGTCTTAGGTGAATGATAGTGTCTACATCCACTCACATCAGCCTGATGAAAACTACAATATCTTGTCGTAGGAATATTATGTAAACACATACATCCAACTCACTAAGAAAAAATCCCGCTGGATAGAGTAGAGAACATGGAAAGACATTACGAAAAGTTTAGATTTAACCAAGAAAAGAAAGATTTATCTCATTTTGTTGGCTGTCAATTATTTTAAAAATCAAGATTGATTTATTTTAGAAACATATAAATTTTATGGACTTTTATCAATAAAAATGAGATTGAGATGAAAATGATAACAAATCAGAATTTAAATGTCATTGATAAAAGATATTGGCAGTTGTTTGTGCCTTGTTCATCTCTTTTTTCATACTTTTGTAATTGAAGAATGTTAATCAATAAAATAATTTCACATCTGATATTGAAAATTACAAGTAATTTGATGCTGTGAAAGTTTAAATGTGCATTTCAATGTTTTTTTGACATCTGAAACAAGCACATTACGGACATAGATATTTGTATGAATTTTGAATTGCTACATTGTCACAGATTTTGTTAAAACGTTTTACTTTTATATTGGATATACAATTTGTATATACATTGTTGTTCTGGTGCTGTATTTAATTCACAAATAATTGTTAAAACTGCTGAATATTTATGAATGTTCATATCAGTAATAGCTTCTCAGATTTAAATATTAAATCATGTATATAATATTTTTTGGTATACGTTCTGATTGAATATGTACACACACTGCCTTGAGTTCAGTTGGGGGGAAGGGTGTGTGTAAAAGCAGACAGACTGGTGCAGCTTTCACACAATACAGTCATTGTAAGGAACTAAGGTGGCCATATTGTAGATGCATTTACTATGAATGAAAACATGCAAACCGTCCATATTAATATATTGCAGCTTTTACAAGATATGTAAAATCTAAAGTGCGATGTACAGCGGTTTGAAGAAAGATTAGTTCAAAAATTCAATTTTTTTTTTCATTCAGAAAATCAAAACTATTTTGAAATGAATGGAAGGGATAGGTTTATTAATATGAATTAAACTTTCCTAAATTTGATTTTTTAAACTTTAAAAATTGAATTTCTGTCTATAGTCTTGAATTAATTTAGAGCTTATAACATGTCTTCTAGTCACGGCAGATTTTATATGCCATTTGTATTAGTCAATAGTTTGTATTCCCAGACGTACGATTGAGGGGAGATAACTCTGCATGATGTACATTTTAGAGTCTAGGGGAGACAATCCATGTGTTCTATTCTTACCGATAGTACAGCGTAGAATTCCCATTATGTAAATGAAATATCAAGTTATTTCAAATAATCAAACTCTAAATAAAAATCATGTAATCTTATTTGGATGTTTTCATTCTTACATGTATTTCTACTCTTCATGAAACTGAAATATCAGCCGAGGTGCAAACATCACTCAAATGTTTGGAATTACATTGTTTTGTACTATTTTCCACTTCTTGGTCGTCTGTAAATTGACACAAGACGCTTCTTGATCGTCTGTAAATTGACACAAGACGCTTCTTGATCGTTTGTAAATTGACACAAGACGCTTCTTGATCGTCTGTAAATTGACACAAGACGCTTTCTGATCGTCTGCAAATTGACACAAGACGCTTCTTGATCGTCTGTAAATTGACACAGGACGCTTCTTGATCGTCTGTAAATTGACACAAGACGCTTTCTGATCGTCTGTAAATTGACACATGACGCTTTCTGATCGTCTGTAAATTGACACATGACGCTTTCTTATCGTCTGTAAATTGACACAGGGCGCTTCTTGGTCGCCTGTAAATTGACACATGACGCTTCTTGATCGCCTGTAAATTGACACAAGACGCTTCATGATCGCCTGTAAATTGACACAGGACGCTTTCTGATCGCTTGTAAATTGACACATGACGCTTTCTGATCGTCTGTAAATTGACACAAGACGCTTCTTGATCGCCTGTAAATTGACACAGGACGCTTTCTGATCGCTTGTAAATTGACACAAGACGCTTCTTGATCGCCTGTAAATTGACACAGGACGCTTCTTGATCGCCTGTAAATTGACACATGACGCTTTCTGATCGCCTGTAAATTGACACAAGACGCTTCTTGATCGCCTGTAAATTGACACAGGACGCTTTCTGATCGTCTGTAAATAGACACAAGACGCTTCTTGGTCGCCTGTAAATTGACACATGACGCTTCTTCATCGCCTGTAAATTGACACAGGACGCTTTCTGATCGCCTGTAAACTGACACATGGCGCTTTCTGATCGCCTGTAAATTGACACATGACGCTTTCTGATCGTCTGTAAATAGACACAAGACGCTTCTTGGTCGCCTGTAAATTGACACATGACGCTTTCTGATCGCCGGTAAACTGACACATGACGTTTTCTGATCGCCTGTAAATTGACACATGACGCTTTCTTATCGTCTGTAAATTGACACAGGACGCTTCTTGGTCGTCTGTAAATTGACACAGGACGCTTCTTGATCGTCTGTAAATTGACATAGGACGTGAAGGGGTTCGCCATGTTTTATGTCCTGTCTATTTCCAGGGACATATTTTGATCAATGTAAGGACAGACACTTTACCAAAACTACCTACCAACCCAATATCTCTATAATTTTGCAACTTGCAGCTTATTCAGAGCTTTCCACTATATTGTCAGTAACGACGACTATTCATATAGTTTACTTCTAATCAAGACGGAGGTTTCCGAATGGTTCCGATTAACGCTAGTCCTTAGACGAAACAGTCAGCTGTAGAAAATGTACTTTTTGTCAACAAAATGTCTTTTAGAACATTCGGTGAAATTATGAACTAAAGACTGTATATTTGACGACTTTCCATAAATAGTCACGATGACCTTGAAATTTACCTTAACCTTTGAATTCACAACAAACTCTCTCACGATACGGATGACTAAATTACTCAAGTGTATACAAATAGTAACTGTGATCTTGGCCTTGAAATTAATGGAGGTTGATAAAATTACATGCTTTCAAATTTCTAGTTGACAATAATTTTGTAGAATTTGGTGTCAAGATCTTCCAAAAGACAACCGCCATACCGAATTATAGGGAATATGGGAAACAAATAGTGGCCTTCCCTTTTTTTATGCCATCGCCCTTTCATAGTCTGGGACAGATCGTGTTATCCGTGTCCTTCATGCCGTCATGATTTCCCTTCCACTCACGTAATCTTTACCCGGTACAGATTACAGATATAAAACTGTTATTTGATACATAGTTATATAATGGTGTTATGTAGGTCACATTCTGGTGTGGTAATGGTCAATTATTTTTAAGAGAGTTATGGAATTTCAATATAAAGACTTAAGCCTCCCACCGTGTGGATACCTTTTCACAGATAACATTAAAAGTTTCAAACTCACTCCGACACGTCTAATTTTATTTTCAAATTAGGCTGAAATTATCGAGCCAATCAAAACATGTCATTTAGTCAAATTCACTTTCATATATAGCAAAGATGTCAAGTCATTAATAGCATGATTTATATTGATTGTGTTTATCGTATATACCCATCAGAATTGGAAGTAAAGGGGCATGGCAAACTCTTCTACATCAGCCACTTATCTCGATTATTTTTCTACAATAAATCCAACATGTATAGCTTTCCACTAAGCTTTACGATAAACGACGTGATTTCAATTTTCCTATTGTGAATTTTCCATTGCGGGATAACAGCATCCCTGCACCCCCAGACTATAGTGTTTACATTTGACAGTTGATAAGATATTCAAGGACTTGATATCAGCAGCTGACAAACACACGACATGTGGATGAAAATTATGGGGAAGTTTTACGGCCGTTATATGATATCACTGGGAAATTTTATTTCCTTGTTTGATATGAAGTTGGATTTATTTTATGCTTGTTATTATACCTTCTGATCATGTTGACTTTTTACGTTATTCTCATTCGGAAAGTGACATTACTTATTTAAATTAGCCAGAATTTACATGATGAGTATCTTTGTTGAAGCAGGGGACGCTTATCCTTCCGGAATATCTGGTCTTATTCCTGTAATTTTTTAATCAATCTTTCATATGTTGCTCTAGTTTCATCGAATCTAAAACTGTTTCGACATGTGGGTATTTTCTTTGCGGTTCCAAATTTACGATGGTATGCAGCACAGTTGAAATGTCCCTTGGGACGAAATTGAATTACGATAACCCTTCATTCCTCAAACGTGGTCATCATTCTGACCTACAGGTCTCAGATTTCAAAATGTAATGGTATGTATCGTTTTGTGTATGGTGACAATACCATACCAAAATGCAGGGACGTGTAAAAAAGCACCATGTCACGTTTCGAAATGGTGTCATGGTGACCTCTTTTTGACCTTAAACCTTATTTGACCCCACTACTGAAATGTGGGCTGTTAAGACCAAATATATTTTAAAAAAACATTAAAGAGGTGCTCTCGACACTTTTCTGAAAGGGAAACAGTGTAACTTTTTCGTTTGGTCTCTCCCTATCAAAATTATATTTTATGTGGCAGTCCCTTTCTCATCCCCAGTTCTCGTTTTAGACAAACTCAGCTGAGCTCAGTCAGATCAGTCTCTGCTGATATAAATAAAACTAAGACACAATGTACATAATTAATTTATTTATTCAGTCATTTCTAATATATTAGATTCTATTATATTTATAGATATATATATATAAACATATAATCCAATATTAACGTCGATAAAATTTTAACTTAACTTATAAACTATACAAAGCGGAAAATCCCTTAACCAGGATTCGCACAATTCGAAATCTCGCACCCAGGCGAGAACTTTAGGGATTTCAGTTTCCACTCTTGCACCAAAGAAATTCATAATTTTAATTCTCAGCATAGTGTCAGCGTTGAGAACTTATCAAGTGTATTGTTTTCTATTTTATCGTGATTGTTTCAATTTATTTTATTTTTCATTTATCTATTTATTTTGGCTGACAGTAAAATACGAAATTATCAGCAGAAGCTTGGAATCTTTTATTAGCACACTCTTTCCTATTATAATAAAAAGAAACTAGGAAATAACTTCCTTTCTTGGGAATTTGACAATGAGGAAACCGTTTGACAAGTTGACAATACTGACCGCAACAAGTCACGCTAGAGGCACGTACGACACGCCTGTCACGCTTTTTCAATTCGCTCAGTCTTTCATTTTAGTGTCCATTGATTGAAAATCCTCCAAACAACTGGATGGAAAATTAAGGTAAGCGGTTATGCTTTTACCATTTGAAATCTCATAGGGGTTGTTGGAGAAGCGGGGAGGGGCGTTGTACTACTCTGCTTTTCTCTTCTTATACTTCTTGCCGGATTGTCTTCACATTTCGGGAAAATGACAAGTCCAGATATCAAGAGGTTCCGCTGTATATATCGATCAACTTTTGCCTGGTTGATATATTTGTATAGATATATTTCCAAACTCTTCAAATCGATAAATAACTGGATAAAGTTATGTTTTATTTGCTTTGAAACGAAACGAGTATCTTAGAAGTTGGAAAGAGTTGTCCCCCATTAATCAACTTTCGAAATACCCAATATATCGCAAAAACACTGATATACACGTGCTTGTGTGATACTGCGCAATGGAATGACTGATCCTGACTAGTGTTAGTTGGATTATTTGGTCTATAATTAAAATTCCATTGCCTAATGTTCATTATTTTTAAATTTAACCACCATTTGTCAATTTGTTTTGCCACGTGGCTATTCGATATTTAATGGGATTTATGTCATTGACATAACGCACAAACGTGCAGACTTATGATCTCGCTTACCCTTTCCATTCAAATGGCTTAGTGGATAGCACCTTTTACCAAGATGGCTAAGGTTTGATTCCTCGGTCGAGCCCTGTGACAACACTGGCCTGATCAAGAGCGTTTTCTCTGGAACTCGCCGCGCTTTATTCTAATGTATAAGAGTGGACTGAACCACGCTGGCAATATGATATAATGTGACTTCGACCGACATCGGGAAATATGACGGACTTGATATCGCCAATCACCTGTCGGGAGATTAAATCACGTGACAAAATAGATAAGTAACACTCGTATATAAGAATGTAATGAAGTATCACTTTGTTATAAGTATCATTTCGTTATACACAAAGCTGTTTTTAAAATAAATATTTAATCTTAATTTGTCAGAGAAAGTAACACAAAACGTATGCCAATACACAATTGTTTCTTTTTTTTCTGTGTGAGTGATATTCCTACACTTTCAAGTGGCAAAAACACACTTTTCGGTATTTGTAAGATCTTGTAGGTACGAAGAGCCGCTTATGCCTGAAAACTGATAACACAATATCTCACTATATAAGTTCATCACCCTTCCTTCCATGTCGTATAGTGTCAAAGCTTTCCTGTCGCACTAATAGTTTTATTTTTATCACATTTTGAAGAGAGAAAAAAAGATGACAAAACAAATTTGATTTAGGCCGCGAAAGTGCGAAGGAATTATTGTAATTGATTTGTCGGAAAACGGCTTTCATTCACTTTTCATTTTTATTGGTTTTGCATTCATGGACAAACGGCCGTCAAAAACAACTCGTGTCAATAAAGGCAGCTTCTCCCAAATTACTTCAGCTGTACATCACTGTCGAAGAAACAACTCGGTAAAAACTACTGACGTTTTCAATGAAGCTTGCATAATGAATTTTTCTCAAATTAAATTGTTCACGAAAGCATTTGACGACGCTGTAAAACAGCACGTGTTTATGATTTAAACATACGTTTTGGTGTGCCAGAGTGACTTTTATGTAGAAAGTCTTAAATATTGCAAACAGGGAATGAAATTCGTATCCAACAGTCATTCTGTGCCGTAAATAAAGAGAATAAATGTTTACAATCATTTACTTATGTGTTGATTACATTTGTTCTAACAGTAACGTGCAGCTTTCACGTCTTTCCACGTGACTAAAGGGCTAGATTTTGTTAGGTTCGTTATCCTAGGAATACTGTACGGTTATAAGAGTACTTGTGAATCTGACTAACATATTATCTATATCTCTTTACATACAAGGTAAGTAACACGAGTAGTTCCTCAAAATTACAAAATTCGAGAATGGACATAATAAAATGTGACCCACCATCTTTGTTCATGGCGATAACAGAATGAGTTTTCTGATGTCAAATGTCTTGGTTGGTGAAGACTTTTCCTTTTAAACTTATTAAGTATTATTTCATTCTGGTCGGAGTTATCTGTAGTGGTACTTGTTCGTTCTGCTATGTAGCGCTTCACGATCTCGCGATCCCTGGCGGCGGGTATGGAAACTACATAAGACAACGTAGTTTAAACTTAATTCGACCCACTATAGAGTCTTTCCTGACATAATGTACACGATTGAAAGTGAAATTGATGAATGAATATCCATATGATAATGAAATCAGTGACATTGCATATTCATAATGCTGTACCATAATGCAAATGTTGGCGTGAACACGCGACACAATGAAACCATTTCCACATCACTCAAGGATGTAGAATACTATGACATGAACACTTTACATTAGGTATTTGTTTCATATGAAAAAGTTCTCAAAAGTTCACATGATTGTGTAGTAATGATTTCAAGATGTCTCCTAAACTATCTTCAGTACAACTCTGATCCTACGCCGGGGGCATTGCTGTGCCGAGAACAGATTTCTAACCAGTCTACAGGTATTGCTGGACCACATCACAATGATTTACACTCTAAAATAATTTAGAAAGAACAAAAATCTAAAATGAAAGAACCCTGTCTTTAAAATATATTATTAGAATAACAGCGAAGCTTGGAACAGGATACCAATCTAAAGCGTCCGATTGACTTTGAATACAGTGACGTAATATTAACATATTTTTGTTCTTATGACGCTGACATGAATTTCAAACCAATATCGCGTCATGATATCATTAACAACAATTCAGTGCATACATGATACAATGGTAAACAATACATGGTAGCTGATCTGTTTAATCTTAAAAGTCTGAACATTTATGATTTCAAATAAATTCACGTTGGAAACACTTCGACAATGGTTCTTAATAAGCGGTAATATTCGGATTGTCTTTTTGTCCGGAAGACAGAGGTCCAGATTAACAGGTGTCCACGTGATTCCCATCCGTTGACTTATGACACAGGATCGTTATGCCAAATGCGTACCTCCAACTGTCTTCGTTGCACTGGATCCAAAATAATTGGTTTCTGCAGTGCAAGCTGTAGTAACGAGAAAGAACCTTGTGGTATCTTTACTGCAGGTTCCTGGTAGTGAAAAATAAAAACCCAACCAATCACGTGTTGACCCCTTCGCGGGCCCCTTGCATCATTGTTGGTAACGATGGCGAAACAATTTACTCGTGTTTAGTATGGAATGTTTATAAATAATTCATTACGCGAGCGGAATGCACATTATTGCCAGAAACAATTTTGCATATCAAAGTAAATATCGCCATATACATGTCTACAATACTCTATCAATCCACAAATCTCGCTTCTATACTGCACGTGACTAATTCACACGTGACGTCATGCGTACAGAACATGCATATGCAACGTTCCGTTCACTTAGTGAACACAACTTGTCAAGACAAATATATCTGATTCAATTTTAATCACGGCGGCCAGTTAGATATAAGATGATATGATCCCGAACGATGAAAAAAAAAAAAAAAAAACAAATTCTGGCTACGTTCACGTCAAAATGGTTGATGAAGTTTTCTTTTCCCTCTGATCAGCATTATTTGGAAGTGAAATATATTCTTCAATATAATTGCCATGCTGGCTGATGTTCATCAAATGGGAGATCATGTGACGTCACTTCCGCAAATTACGATTAACTCCATTCGAATGACTTTAAATAACACTTCAATAAATGACATTTTAAAGTCTTTTCATATGAGGTCACGTGCTTTCATATCTGTAAAATGAGAAAGTACTGGACAGAAGATGGCCAAACTCGTCCCCACAATCGCCAGCATGAAACTCCAACCTATATGACAATCGCCTGAATGGTACATCCGGGTACCGGCTCCGCAGTGGAACTTCATGAACTTTGAACCCAATCCCAACGGGTAGATCAGTAGACCAGACATCATCACCAAAACTGAAATGACACAAATATATAACATTTGTTACTGTATATGACGAAAATCCCAACATTTAATGTAACTTAAATATTTTTGCAAACAATTGTGAAAATAATTGTCTATTAGACTGCAACAAAATCCAAACGGCGAGATTTTCACACTGTTTCTCTTTATTTGGTGTTGTTACAATGGCAAATGAGGTTGGACGTCGCGATGAAAACCTTCAACCAATGAAAATACCGCTAGGTCATATTACAAATGTGTCATCATAAATTTGTGTTATCAGTGTTAATATATTTATGACATGTCAGTCATGCGTGTTAAGGCATTGGATAAAATACCCTTCCTCACTGACTTTATATAAACTTAATTTCATTAAGAAATGTACATATGAATTACACAATTTAAGAATAGTTTGAATAGGACAGGAACTTATATAACTTCGTCTTCTTTTCTAAGACACATTAATTTATCAGACACGACATCAATGACATCAAACATGGAGGTGAATGATTCGACTTGTGTATGTGAGAAACGTACGGCAGGAAAAGGAGAGGAAGTGAAAGAGTGATAGTAAAAGGATTCCAGAGGAGAATTGTACGATGTAGGGGGATTGTAGCATGTCATGACAGCAACAATTCGCTTCTCTTGGAGCTGATCATAAAGAATGGAAAACATAAAAAAACCACTTTCATGGTGTTTAAGCTTGTTCTTTAAATTACTTCTATTTTCATCCCTCGCTTTCACCGAAACGGGGGATATTAATTTGGGTTTGTTCGTCCGTCCGTCCGTCTGTCACACTTTCGTTTCCGTGTTCTAACTTCCCCAAATATCATCCAATCTGGGCGAAACTTGGTCAGCAGATGCATCTTGGGGTCATTGAGGCTGAGTTTGACTATCAGTGTCATCTGTTAATAATAATGCATACTGATGAGGTATCCTTTGATTTCATTGGTTGGTTCTTTTCCGTGCTCGAAGTTCTCTAAATGTAATCCGATTTAGATGAAACTTGGTCAGCAGATCATTATGACATGTTTACTCCTAACCTCTAAAATATTTACTTACAATATGTTTGGAAAGCGGGGGATATAAATTCCATGGATTTGCTTGTTATTCTTACGCCGACAGAGTCACTGTTAAATGTACAGTATACACTCTCTTGTACTGCAATTTGATACAGTAATGACAAAAAGGCAGTGGAAACACAGATTGTATAAATTTACCCCAAGGTCTGCAAATATTTCAATAAACATTTGTAATTATTGATTTGTTTGGAGATGCATTTTGTTGCACTCTTTAGATACCGCCGAAGTACGGTTCAGCTATAGACAAATAAATATACAGATATTATAAGATCAACGAAACTGTAAAATCTCTCCCAGAAAGAAATTTTGAGAAAAAAAGAGGAACTGACAAAAACGTTAAGTGCAACAGACGGACGACCGATGAACTGACGGATAGGATGAACGCATTATATCATCAAGCGTTTCATGGCTGGTACATGGAAATTAGTGTCAGTCCTTGTTTCAGATGTATAATGGCTGGGAAAGAACGCTTAAAAACATACTAAGTAAATAAACAAATAAACGGAGGCCAGGAAAGGGTTCCAACATTGTACACTCGCTTAAAACAAGACATCTTTAATCGTAAACAAAAAGTAATACGTTTTGATTACAATAATACATTTTAATGATGAACAGCTTACATTAGAGTACTTGTATTCTCCGTTACAAAATTCCTCTTTGGTCACTCATTCTTTGTCAACTGTGATCTGTGCCTATCTAATATACAGGCAGTACTTACTTAATATATTTCATTTTTATATCAATATTTTAAAGTTTTTATATTCTGATAATGATGGAAAAGTTATACGAGATCTTCCTCTCGAAGAGTTAGAAAGTCCCTCCCACCAATAACGAAATAGCGTATTAACATTAAAAAAAAGTCAAAGGTCAAAGGTCAATGGGTGTTCGTTGTCCAAGCTTTGATTATGCATTAAAACTGCGTTTTACACTAATGAAGCTGCGCGATTTGTAAGTGATTAGTGCAGTCACTAAATTAAAGGCAAGAAATTAGCACAGACACGTCACCAATTACGACCAGGTACGTCACAAGACTGGATGACGCCAACTACAGGTACACCAACTTAGTCATTGTCACAGCTGAAAAAACGTGTTTGAACCTTAACCTCTTTTTCCTGCCAAAGTTTGGTGTTATAACGGGTTCTTGCAAAATATTTACAGAAACGTTTAGGGAAACGTATGAGGGAATAATGAATTAGAGTTTTTCAATTAAAAGTAGATAATTGATATGTACATCTACGGTATTTGTATTTCAGATTTCATATTCTGTTTAACATCCAGATACACTAAATGCGTGCAACAAAATATTATAATACAATTGAGAAATTCAATTCGTGATCAACCCAGAATTATCATATAGAACTTAGTAGCAAAACTGATGGGCCTATCACAGCTAGGGCTATTCTGAAGTATGACCTCCTTCTAGTTGATGACTACTTCACTGAACGTCATGTGGAAGGGCCACTACATGATTTCAAATGAAATTGGGGTAAAGTGTCATTCCGGAGGACAATACTATGACAGAACAGTGTGTTACGAAGAAGATTGGTATTGCAATGTTTCATTTCTCACCCGCTCAAAAAAGAAAAAAAAATGCGAATTTGTCAGCTTCATTTATGAATAGAAATTAAGATCCCATTTGAGAAAAATGAATGAATCTTCATAATGAAAAAAAAATATAGGGAAGGGATAAAAATCAAAATCATTCACAAAACCATTTAGATTTAAGTTTAATCTTTGTTTTTGAAATTTATGCAAGTGTTATTACAAAAGAAACCAATTACACGTTGCTCCTATTCCCCGAAGGACTGCACGTGAGATCGAAGGATAAAACACGGCACACCGTTGCCGCCATTTTATATCCAAATACAGCAGCACAATTTAAAATTTCAATTTGATATTAACATCGCTTGATCAAACATGGCGCCAGTAAACCACAGTAATAGTAAAACGATGTATGTTTTGCTTAGTAAGAGCTGGTAGAAGAATGTTTTGTTTCTAAAGTCTGTGTGACCTCATAACGTCAATACGGAACTAGAGGCCAAATAGGCCTTAAAGGTCAACCGAGTCCTATTATAAAAAATGTTGTTTTTGTTGACGTGACCCCACACGGTGATGACAGTGGTAACACGGCCATTTAATGCTAATATATAGATTAACTGTTGACAAATTGAATTTTTAAAGGAGAAATCTAAAACTTAAGCAAATTCCCCCCATTGAGCTCAGCCCGTAATGCCCCCAGATGGGGTTCACATCATTATTTTCATACTATCAAACTGCAATCTAACAGTTTTAACTCTAACCTGGATTGAATTATATAAAAATAAAAAATCATTTTCCCAAAAAGTAATTTCCCTATATGCAAACTCCCCCTCCCCTCTCCTTTAGATTGAAACAGGGACCTTGACGGATATGAAAGCTACAATCTTTCAGGCCTGAATTGAAAACAGCTATTCATTTTTATCACCTCGTGTCTCGTTCCACATACATTGCCTCCGACAATGATAACAAGATACAGCATGTCAGTGATTTTAAATTGTATTTATCAAACAAATGAGCAAATAAAGCACAATTGAATATCGACTTAATTTGCAAGAATGTAGTTTATTTGAATAATCCTTACGCGATACGCCCTTTTTGGAATGAACTGTTTATATTCCATTAAGGATTCATGGTCCCTGATTAACAGAGGACATGATTTTCTCCCTTACATTCCCTATGATGTAAGATTACTTTTGAATAATATGCAGAAATGCATCCATTCTCGGACAACATGAAATATTACACTTCTATAAACAAGTTCGATAATCATACACAAAAGACGTTTTATGTAGATTTTACTTTACTCTGGAACTCTTTTTGAAAGAAGGTAGTAATGAACAGGGTAATATATATCCTTAAATGTCGTAAAATCTGCAAACGAGACATTATTTGCAATGCTTTTCGGTACCACAATAAATAAATTTACAATGAGATTGAACCAGAGAATTATCCGGATTCTCTGCACCGTAATTGGTTCCTGTATTATTTTCTTTTGAATTACCGTTTCTTTCTGATTTATCCGAATCTGTGAATTCTATTGAATGTTTTATCATGGTATGGTTAATGCCCAGAGGGAAATCATTAAGGTTATTCAAGTAACATACGATGCTAACTACCTTTGTGACGAAACAGTAGGATCTGTAAACTAAAACTTAACGATAGATTTATGTATGGCTTCGGATGGATTTGATCAATACAAGACTCCAGTTAGAGCCGAACGAAACGACAATAGCAGACTAGATTGTCTCCAGATATGTGCTGATGACTGCAAAGGAAACAAACAAAAAACAAAAGAAATACAAACAGAATTATACTTTCAATCACAAGAACAAAGATGAAAGATAGGGGTAACACAAACAAAACAAAAACAAAATCTTGCTTTATAATGATTTCCATTTTCAAAGGATACATATAAATCGATGACTAGACAGATTAACGAAATTAAGAGTTGCTTTTAAACCAAAGTTGATCAAAATTTATACCATTGTTATATAAAAAGATAGTTGATAGTACTATCCATGTACTAGCATTCCAGATTTGGAAACATTTTTATTTCGGGGTCGCCAATCGGATTTCAAAGAAGATATGTAGGGCGTCGTTATTACTATCAGTATAATTCAATGACCATCAGCTACAACCAATCGCAAAATCTGTTACACCCACAATGACCAATCCCAGACGCTGTTATAACTACGGCAACCAATTACAGAATTTGTTATATCTACCAATAAGAATTTATATCGCAATAAACTTTGATTACGGTTTCAACTAATCATTTTAGGCGTTACACTGTAATCAATCACATCCTCCGATCTGTAGCTAAAACTAGGCTCTCTTACACTTATGCACTACAGCAGTTATAGTGTGCAATCGTTATTGTGTGTAATTTATCG